CCACAGTAAAGTAGACCTTTTGGAATTTATGTTTTTCAGGATGGAGATAAACTTCCAAGCCCTGAAGAAAAACCCAAGACTGGAAGGATACAAGGTATGTGGCTACAGAACAGTCTTCTTCCACTTAGAGACAGGGTAGAATAAAGGAAGGACATTGTAAAGCTACACGACCATGCCAGTTGTAGGGTTAGGGCCATAGTATTGTTAAAGCAATAGCTATGCTAGTTGTATGGCTACAGACTCATAACTAAAGCCAAAACGTTTCATTATTTTAGTTATGCTAAGTTTCCATTTGTATTGTCAGGGCTAGGGCTCAGACCCTTCAAACCCATTGTATAAACAGGGTCACCAGACCCCTCACATGCCAGGCTGGGTCACCAGAACCTTCACATGCAGGTCCATGCTAGGTAATTGGGAAATATCCTGGGAGCCATTGGCAGATGACATGAGCTCTGTCCTCAGCAGTAGCAGAAGCAGCTTGCAGCAGCCTGAAGCAGTAGCAGCAGAAGCAGCAGTGGCGGAGGCCTCTCGGGGCATCCTGGGGGCACTGGCAGCAACAGCCTCCAGCAGCAGTAGCAGCCTCCCCATGGCCCCCTCAGGGGGCATCCTGGGGGTGGGGGGCCCTGTGGATCAGAGCCACTCATCCTTTATTCTTAAGTCCATTACCCAGGACACCTGGGTGCACATGTGCAATTATATTAGACAATAAAAAGGAACACCTGGGCACATGTGCATATTTACATCAAATGCTTGGCAAGATTCTGAACATCTGAGGGGCCCTGACCATTTTTCTGTATTTTCCCTACAGTCCACCTCTTCAGGGTCCCTCGTTGTACAATCTACTCATTCAGAATCTTCCACAGTGTTCCCTTAGCGAGGGTAACTGACCCTTGAATTCACACGTTACATATTCCATCCCAACGGTCCCAACATTCTTTAGCTTGTTCCAGCACCAACTCAAAGTCCAAAGTCTCATCTGAGACTAAAGACAGTACTCCTTTCAGCTGTGTACCTGTAAAAAATAAAAATACAAGTTTATCTACTTCCAAAATACAGTGGTAGGACAGACATTGGGTACACATTCCCATTCCAGAAGGGAGGAACAGAAAGAGAAAACAGGCCACGAACAAATCCGAAACCCAAACAGGGCAAACATTAAGCACACTGGGGTATCTGGACCCCCAAAGCATCAGGCAGCCTCCCTCCTCCCATCGGTGCAGCCCTTTGAGCTGCCTTGGTGCCTGTGGCTTTTCCAGGCCATCATTGCACATTGCCAGCGGCCCCACAGTTCTCGTCTCTTGGTGGCAGACCCATTGTCCTGGCTCCACTAGACATTTCCTCAGTGGGGGTTTTCTGTGGGGGCTCTGACCCCACTTTTCTGTTTCCTATTGCTCCCTAGATGACCTCTGCAGTGGCTCCACCCCTGCAGCAGATCTCTGCCTGAGTCCCTGGCTTTTTCATACATCTTCCAAAATCTGGGTGGAGGCTGCCACGCCTCCACTGCTCTCGAGTTCTGCTGGCCTGTGAACTTAACACAACGCAGCTACCACCAAGGTTTCCTGCTTGTGCCCTCCAGAGCTGCTGCACGAACCAAATGGCACTTGGGGCCACCTGAGGCACAGCTGCTCCAGCCAGAGCAGCCAGAGTGGAGTGTGGGGGAGCAGTTTCCTGAGGGCAGCAGGAAGTTCTCCTAGGCCTCAGGGCCTGTGATGGGAGGGGCACTCTCCCAAACTTCTGAAATGCCTTCAGGGTTTTTGTCCATTGTCTTGGCTATTAGCATCTACCTGCCCCAACACTAGCTCTTGAACCACTTGAATCAGCTTGGCTTATACTGGCTATTTACTCACAGTCTTGGGCCATTCTCCAGCTTTTGCCCACACAGTTCAAACAGCTGCATTTGCCCAGTCCATCACTGAGTGGCTGCCCTGCCCCTGTGCATATCTGTGGCTATTCTGTAACTGCTGCCAGAAACAGGCACATAGTAACGGAGGCTAACTTTTTCATATTTTCACCAGGTGAAAACTTACTTGAAATTTTGCAGGTGCACCCGTCCTTGGGTCATCTGCCCATCTGCATGTGGCACTCTTTTTTTGGGTTTATATGGCACCTATTGAACCATCAGATTTAAGTGGCACCCTCTGAGCCATTTGTCTTCTGACAAATGCGACATGCATTTACTACATCATCTCTAGAGCACAGCACACCATCCACTCCTGGCACCTATTGAACCATCAGATTTAAGTGGCACCCTCTGAGCCATTTGTCTTCTGACAAATGCAACATGCATTTACTACATCATCTCTAGAGCACAGCACACCATCCACTCCTAGGTCCCATAACTGCAGTAGCCAGGGGCTCTCCCTGTTTCTGCCACTTTACTGTTTCTCCAAGCCAACCAATTTGATCTGGGTATATTGGACATAGTTAGTGAATTGGGTCACCTGTGGGTTGCCTACTGGTCCACCCATAGGCTGCTCATGCTTCACTTTCTGATGAGCAAAAGGTCATTCTAGGAGACACACAGTCTCCCCCAACTCACCATTGGGTTCGTCATATGTCTTTGGTGTCAGAAGCAGGGATAATCTGTTTCTGTACTTCAGCTTCCAGGGCATGTATTGTGTTTCCAACCTGTCTGCTTTCTGCTGCAAATCTTGAAACTGTGCCGCTTCATGGGGTTTCTGGTCCATGTTGGCTCGCATTGCAGTGAGAAACAGTCAGACCCTGGTCAACAGGAAAGTGACCACCAGGCACCACATACTCAAAGGTAGCCACATTTCCTCCTCCTCCTCCTCCAGAGGGTCTTTCTGCTTCTTTACCTGCTTGGCATCCTACCCATGATGCCAATTGCCAGGCTCTTTTACCTGCCCAGAATCCTGCTACGACTACACAAATTGTCTGGTTCTTTTACCTGCCCAGTAATCCTGCCGACTACACCAGCTGTATGGCTGAGGCAATTGCCTTAACCTGACAGCAGGATTCCGACCATTGCCTCAGCCATACAGACATTGATGTTGCAAGCATGTCCCCAGACCATAGACTTTCCAATTGAATTACAATCTTTAATAAGTTCTCCATGTTTACCAATACTGATAGATTTTCTTATAATTATATCATCATCAATGGCATAGTCAATGAAGCAAGTTGGCAAATATTCACATGTGTTTTAGAATAATAGACAAATGTCCATTTTCAGACCCAGAAGAGAAATCTGTCTGAAATAATGAGCCAACAAGAGGCAGAGGAGGAAGGAGGCCAAGACTCATTAATTCTTTCATTCAAAGATTATCAGGTGCTTAAATGTATTCAATAATCTGGGGCTGAGAGTTCTGTTAAAGCAATGTAAGATGGATATTATGGTAGTGAGAATGGTTACTCTTGAGAAGTGACAAGTAAACTAAGGAGGTAATCATTAGTAGTGATATGGTGAAATCATGTGGTTCTCACCCAAATAGTAGGGAGTAACTGGATTCTGCACAGTCATAGCCAGGTAGACTTTTGGTGGCAAGCACATTTCTATATAGACGTGGAACTGAGAAAGAGGAGAGAAAGGTAGCTAACATTTATTGAGCATTTATGACAACACTGATCTAAGTGTTGTACAAGATGCAATCTCATTCAGTATTTATGACAACACTATGGCATCATCTCCAAACTATATGGATGAAGAAATTGAGAACCACTTCAGTTAAATAACTTGCAAAAATTGACAAACTTGGTAGATGTCAAGGAAAGATGCAAACCCACTTGCTTCCTTTCTCAGTGAGTGAAATTATCCACAGAGTTGTCTGAGCCATAAATATGAGTGCGCTCCACGACTGTCATCCAGTTGGTCAACTCATTTTATTGATTTCAACACCTCAGTAGATCTCCGCATCATCTGCTTTCCATTCCACTGCCACTACCATAAGGCAGTTATTCCTGGGAATACTTCAATGCTTCATTCTTAAACTTCCTGCCTCAGTTGATCTATTTTGACCCATGGACCAAATGTGGCCTGCCACCAGTTTTTATAAATAAAGTTTTACTGGAACACAGCCATGCCCATTTATTTACATATCGTCATTGGCTGCTTTCACTCTACAAAGGCAGAGTTGAGTAGTTGTGACAGAGACCCATATGGCCTGCAAAGCTGAAAGTATTTACTCTCTGGCTAGGGTTGCCATGTTTAGCAAATAAAAATATAGAACACCTGGTTAAATTTGAATTTCAGATAAACAATGAATAATATCACAAGAGTCATACATAGAAAAAAATTTTATTTGTTATATTTGTTCTTTTTGGATTCTGTATTTGTGAATTTGCTTACTCACTGAAATTTATTTATAAGCACTGCATCAATACTCACAGACCACCAAAAAAATTGAGTTGCCTGATGCACATGTTCCCAGCTGAGGCTGGACAAGGTGACCACTGCCGCCTTGTTCTAGTCCTCACACTGTAACCAACTGTCCTTCTTCAGGGTATGTAGTGCCGCTTTTTTTTTTTTTTTTTTTTTTTTTTTGCATTTTTGAGCTTTTTTTGGGTGATTTTTGTTTAATGCTTCATTCAGGCATGAGTTATAATGCTATTGGCTATGAGTTCGATGTTAATGAATCAACAAGATACATTAAATAAGGTGTCTTTAAATAACAAATACATACAAAACAAGGTCATATATTGATCAGTTGATGAACATGTTGTGAGCAAAAGCTCACAGGAATCTAACGTTATATTTCCTTAGGAGCAATGGTTCAGTATTTGCCAATTCAGTGTCCTGAAAAGAAAATGAACATTTAACTGGGTTTCCTGTATTTTGACTGGCAACTCCACTTATGTGGTCCTTTACAAAAAAGTTTACTGACACCTGTTCTATGCTATTGTTAATGATCTTTCAAAAATAAATACAATCTTGTTTTCTGGTAACTACCACATTAGTACAGCATTCAAGGCTGTTCGTGACTTAGCCCCTGGTTTTCTTCCCACTCTCACCTCTCGCCGCCCCCACCCCTTGTCCCTATGCACTCAACCCCCTGTCCCTATGCATTCTGAGCCAGCCTTTCTGAATGACCTGTAAGTCCTCTTTCTATGTGCTCTTCACTCTGCCTGGACACTAGCTTCACAGTCTGCCTGGCAGCTCTTGTTGCTATGGGCCCAGTTCAATGTCACCTCCTCCAGGAAGCAATCCCCAAATCCCCAGAATGAATTAGATGCATTTGCCAGAGTGTGGAAATGCTAATTAGGTCTTTCTGTCTTTCTTCCTTTTCAGAGAAATGCCATGGATCTTGCATCTCTTTTTCCAACTGCAGCCAGCCTTGTGCTAAGCGCTTTCATGGAGAAATAGGATTTACATGTAATCAAAAGAGGTGGCAAAAATCAACCGAGACTTGTACAAGCCTTTCCATGAAAACACTCTTTAAGGTGATGCATTTGCATATTATTGGTGACAGAAACCAATCCCCCAGGAGGTGGTAGAGGCATTTTTAATGTGATCTGTTCAGCATGACAGTAAGTCTCAGGTCTGGATTTAGGAAAATCTATGGAATGGGTTAAATTTGTTTCTTGTCCTTCCTTTCTTACCCAAACTCTCCGGTACTACTTCCTCTGTTCACTTTCTCTATTTCTCCTTCTCAGAATCTTCTCAAAAAAAAAGATCTGAAATTCATTTACACTACACTGTGTAAATGACTGCTTACAGGTTACGTTTTCGTGGTAAAGGTGGATTTGTGTGCCTCTTGTGCTAATCAGTCATTCAACTAAATGTGTCTAGAATCAAATTCATTCTGATATCTTTTTCTAATACTTTCAATCACTTGACCGAAAGAAAGAAGAGATATATGATCCAGAGGGAATAGAAATCCAATGAATACATCACATCTCAGTTAAAATTCATATCTCCTCTCCTATATCCTTAGTCCACTTATCCTTTGTCCACTTAGCAACCATTTCCTCAACGGTCTCTTCTGTCTCATCGAAGCACATGGATCTCTACATTTTCTAAAATTTTAACAGTGGCTTTATAAAGCGATTGCAGATGAAGTCTTTGTCACTTAGCATAGGCGATCACATGAAAGTCCTTGCAACTGTAGTGGCACTCAAAAGTAAATTAAAGGAAATGAATTATTGCTTTGCCTTATTCAAAGTCACATTCTGAGAGACTGTAGGTAAAAGTATCAAAGAATGAGCAAAGAACTTTTAATTAGTGAAGTCTAAGCTTTTTGAAATTCCAGTTTCTTAGCATTCTGTGTTTGATCTGCCAACCTCCAAAAACCACGTCCTCCTAAAATTCCATGTAGCTCCTCTTTCCCCAAATCTCTGGAGAAAATCATCTTGTTATAACAAGATGTTAAATTCATTGTCTTGAAAGCAAACTCCAGTAGGAAAAGTCGATATCCTGATCTTTGTGGGAATGTTGGTGGAATCTATTGCTTGTTTGTGACCTCACCTTCCCCTCTCTACTTTGCAGCATCAAAACCACTGTTTAAGAATGCTTCCTTCTTTATCTGTTTTCTTCATGTGGGTTGTTTGTGACTTTAGCTCCTTTAGTCTGACATGTTAGGTACTTAATCATTTCTGAATGGAACATTGTTTGTTTTTCATAAAACAGGACTCAAATGGTGCATCTCGCCTTTCCATAGCAGCACCGTCTATACCTCTGCACATTCTTGACTTTCGAGCTCCGGAGCCCATTGAGAGCGTAGCTCAAGGAATCCGCAAGAACTGCCCCCTTGATTACGCCTGTATAATTGACGTTGTGAAGTCATCAGAAGTCACATCAGGAAATATTGCATTTATAGTGGAATTATTAAAAAATATTTCTAGGGACTTGTCCGATAATGTTACCCAAGAGAAAATGAAGGTACTCTTCATTAATTTCATTAAAAGCACACTGTTTTTTTTTTTTCAAAATCTTTCACTTTAACAGTTTTAAATGTACTTTTCAGAGTAAAAACAACAACTACAACAACTATAACAACAACAGCAGGCATTTTACCTCAATTTTGCTTATTGGTTCATTCTAGTTTATGGAAGTTTTCAAGAAGTTAGAACATTTTTGTACACACTTAATATTTTAAAGAAAATATCACATAGTGGTGGCTGTTAAAAAGACTCGGGCAACTCTAGTGTTTTCAAAAGTATGTTCTGTGGAACACAACTGTTCTGAGAAATGTTAGTGGAGGTTCCATTTTTAAAGGGGAGATGCATAGTACAGCAGTTGTAGGAAGTTCTGGGTCAGACAAATTTAGGCAGATTACCTTATGGCGAGACATTTTAGAGCCTTTAATGTGCTAATGAACTTTGGAACTCTTTTTTTATTATTTTTAATTTTAATTTATTCTTTCTTATTTTGTACATTTTTCTTTTTTTATTGGTTATGAATATTCATGAGATACGTAAGGGGGAATGATACAGGAATGTGTATGCAGTATTTTTCAAACTTAGATTACCATGGACCCTACCCCCACATCCTCCATTAAACAATCATTAATGTCTCAAGGAAACGTGGGTTCCACACATTGTAGTTCAGAAATGCTGCCTTGGGTACAATGATAAAGCAAAAAAACCTCAGCTGTGATACTTACTTTTTAAAAATTCCTTTACTTTTCTTCCCTCTGTGCAGCTTTTTTAATGTGGGAATTTTACAAAGGGAATTTGAAGAGAAATATGTCAAGTAAGATCAAATAATTTGATTTTCAGAAATTTCAGATTTTAGGAGTCTACTCTGTACAGTAACGTGTAAATCCTTAGTATAACATCCACTTTTCTCCACTGCAGAGCTACAGTGAAGTGGCCAACCACATCCTCGACCCAGCAGCCATTTCAAACTGGGCTTACATTCCTGATGAAAACGCCGGTTCGGATCTGCTGCAGTCAGTGAATTTATTTGCCGGGCAACTCCACATCCACAATGAATCCGAAAACATTGCAGATGAACTCTTCATTCAGACAAAAGGGTTTCACATCAACCACAACACCTCAGAGAAGAGTTTCAGTTTCTCTATGAGCACAAACAATAAAACAGAAGGTATCTTAGGAATGATAGAAATTCCCAGGCAAGAACTCCGGAAGCTGCCACCAAATGCATCCCAAGCCATCAGCATGGCTTTTCCAACCTTGGGGGCCATTCTGAAAGAAGCCCACTTGCAAAATGTGAGTCTTCCCAGACCAGTAAATGGTCTGGTCCTTTCAGTAGCTTTACCAGGAAGGTTGAAAGAAGTGTTACTCACCTTTGAAAAGATCAATAAATCCCGAAATGCCAGGGCCCAGTGCGTTGGCTGGCATTCCAGGAAAAGGAGATGGGACGAGAAAGCATGTCACATGACGTCAGATATCATGAACAAAGTGAAATGCCGCTGCAACTATACCAACGTGGTGATGTCTTTTTCCATTCTGATGTCCCCCAGATCTATCACAGACAAAGTCCTGGACTACATCACCTGCATCGGGCTCAGCATCTCAGTCCTTAGCTTGGTTCTTTGCCTGATCATTGAAGCCACAGTGTGGTCCCAGGTGGTTGTGACAGAGATATCATACATGCGTCATGTGTGTATTGTGAACATAGCAGTGTCACTCCTGATTGCTAACGTGTGGTTCATCGTAGGCTCTAACTTCAATCTAAAGGCCCAGGACTACAACTGGTGTGTTGCAGTGACGTTTTTCAGCCATTTCTTCTACCTCTCTCTGTTTTTCTGGATGCTCTTCAAAGCACTACTCATCATCTATGGAATATTGGTCGTTTTCCGTAGGATGATGAAGTCCCGCATGATGGCCATTGGCTTTGCCATTGGCTATGGGTGCCCACTGGTCATTGCTGTCACCACAGTTGCTATCACAGAACCAGATAAAGGCTATGTGAGACCTGAGGCCTGCTGGCTTAACTGGGACAACACCAAAGCCCTTTTAGCATTTGCCATCCCAGCTTTGGTCATTGTGGCCGTGAATCTCGTTGTGGTTTTGGTTGTTGCTGTCAATACTCAGAGGCCCTCTATTGGCAGTTCCAAGTCTCAGGATGTGGCCATAATTATGAGGATTAGTAAAAATGTTGCCATCCTTACCCCACTGCTGGGACTGACCTGGGGTTTTGGGATAGCCACTCTCATAGAAGGCGCTTCCTTGATGTTCCATATAATCTTTGCCCTGCTCAATGCTTTCCAGGTAAGTTCAAAGAGGGAGGATTTTCTGTGTTATTCTGGCTAGACAACAAAATATGGCTAAAATTATAGAACACAAAATGTTCCTTCCGTTTCCTTCCATATCTTAAGGATATTTGGCTGTGGCATCTCTCACTCTTATTGATTGTTAAGTTGGCTTTGGCTGATCAGGCTGGTTGGGTGGGAATTTCCTTCCTTCTTTTCTCATGGATCTACCTGTATCCCTTCTAAAGTTTCAATGTCAGAAAAAGTTAACCTTCACTTATAGAGGACTGTTCTTTGGTCAGGGATGGGTAAAGCTATACTCACATAGTATGCCCCAAAACAAGCACAATTTTTGTCCTTTCACCAGTGGTTTGGGAACTCGGTGGAATAACAGCCACTTTCCATAGTAGAAAGAGAAGTCCCTTACCGTTCACTTTGGGTGTTAACCAGTCAGGAGTTCTCATTGAACCTCTCCCCTGCTGTTCCCTGTGAAATAAATGCAAGTTGTTGTTCATAGAAATAGATCTTGCCATATACTATCTGATCTTGGGACTGTCACTTTTTTCTGGGCCTCAGCCATCTCATCTGTATAGCAAAGAGATGGATCTAGAATGATCTCTATTGTTTTTTTCTTCTCTAACATACTTGGTGAGGCAAGATTGTCTCTCTTAAAGTTGTCTTACTCCCTCCTGGCTACTAAGCTTGCACTTTGGAGAAGGTATTTTTAGCCAGACTGCTTTTTGTAACTACGAGTAGTAAAAAATTTGTCAAGTCCATATTCTTAATTATGCTTTTAATCAGGGGTTGGCAAACTATGGCTTGCTGTCTGTTTTTGTAAATAGGGCTTTATTGGAACACAGCCATCTCATTTGTTTATTTTTTCCCATGACTGCTTTTGGCAAATTTGAGTAGTTGCAACAGTATGGACTGGAAAACCTAAAATATTTACTACCTGGTTCTTTGCAGGAAAAATTTTCCAACTACTGCTTTAAATAATATAAATATAAATAAAGTAGCAAAGTATTCCTATTGACATGTCACTATTACTTTATTTAAAAGCATGATACAAAATATAAAGCAGAGAAATTGGTAAAGGGCCACCAAAAATGATTACACTGTGTAATGTTGAATATACCAATTATCCCAATTTGAGCATCACATATAGCACACAAGTATTGATATTCAATGCTGTACCTCACAGATGTGTACAATCAATTACATTTCAATTAGTTGAATATACCAATTATCCCAATTTGAGCATCACATATAGCACACAAGTATTGATATTCAACGCTGTACCTCACAGATGTGTACAATCAATTACGTTTCAATTAAAAAAAAAAGAAAAAAAGTAGACTTTAAAGAAATGCCAACTCAGATCAGTTATATATCTTACTCATAATTTTTTAAATAACAATGGAGCACATTTATTTCACTCTTCTCATTGCATTGCTTTAAAAACAACTTAAGGTTTTTTGTTTTTGTTTTTGGGAAATCAAAAGCTCTTGGACTTTTAATAAATCCCTCCACTCTTGAAGTTATTCTGAGTTGACTAATGATCTCATCCTCTTTCTTACCAAGTTTGTGTGTGTGTGTGTGTGTGTGTGTGTGAGAAAAAAAGTAGACTTTAAAGAAATGCCAACTCAGATCAGTTATATATCTTACTCATAATTTTTTAAATAACAATGGAGCACATTTATTTCACTCTTCTCATTGCATTGCTTTAAAAACAACTTAAGGTTTTTTGTTTTTGTTTTTGGGAAATCAAAAGCTCTTGGACTTTTAATAAATCCCTCCACTCTTGAAGTTATTCTGAGTTGACTAATGATCTCATCCTCTTTCTTACTTTGCAGCTTCATTAAGCCCCAGGAAGTTTTGTTCTGTATTTCTTTTTCGGGTCATTTGTGTTTCTCTTTTCTTGATAGAAAAAAATATCCAAATACTTTTAATTATATACAATCCGCTTTTCTTAGCAAGCTTTCCCTGTGACTCACATTTAACATTTTCAGTCATCTGATCAGTGTTTCTTTACCATGAAACTATCCTTAGATAGTGAAGAGATTCTGGTCTCACAGGTCTCTGTCACTTTCTCTTTCTTTTATGCAGAAACTTCATCTACCAGCCCAGAGGCCCTGGCTGCCTGTTTACCAACTTTTAATTCCCTCTTGAAGTAGAGTAGAACACAAGTTTCATTTTCTTAAGACACCTTCTATGATTGTGATTTTGAATAACAAGATTCCATGTCACGTGTTACTGTCATCATGAGTAAGAACCACTATATCAATATTTGGGAAGAAAATAAAATGATTTAATAAGGTCAAAAACTCTATTCTACAAGTGTAGCTATTAATGTCAATAATCCTCACGCACAGTCCCATGAGAGTAATCCTCTTCCAGGAGTGGAGACAGATTCAGAGGAAATAGCCATCAATGCATTTTTATCTGCATCAGTGGAAACTGAGGTTGCTAATATCTAGTAACTGCCCTAGCAGGTATCTACAAGAGTGGTATTAAAATAACTGCTAGGGTATTGTTTGTAAGACAGTCCCTCATGATTCTGTCCATTTTGCTGCAGGGTTTCTTCATCTTGCTGTTTGGAACCCTTATGGATCACAAGGTAATTTGAATTTGTCTCACTCATTGTTAACGATTTCCATGTGGCGAGGGAAGCAGGAGGATGAAGTGGTTTTGATCGGAGCATAGTCCAGGGGAGCTGAGTTTGTGAGGACGATTCAGGGTGTCAGCTGTGTGAGGAAAAGAGGCGAGAACTATACTCTCATGTCTTGCTCTTTATCAAATCAGCAGGAGGCTGGGAGTGAGTTCTGCTGGTGAAAAGACCATGACCACAATTTTAATCTTAATCCCAAATCCAGTGATAATCACACCTCAACTTTTCTGCCAGGGTTACTGGCCTCAAAGTTTCAGGACATGAGTCTGAGCCTTGGGGGTTCTGTTTCCTCTGACATCTGTCAGGTATTTCTCACTGTCATTGCTTCTTTAGATAAGAGATGCTTTGAGGATGAGGATGTCTTCACTGAAGGGGAAAGCGAGGGCAGCAGAGGTAAGCCCAGCCCCGCTCGTCTCAACGCTGGAGGGTGTCCTCTTCAATTATGCAGAGGCACATGCTGTGGCCTCCTGCTCAGGATGTGCTAGCAAAGAGAATCAATAGGGCATATTTTATTCATTCATTTCTTCATTCAATAAATTTGGAGCATCCTGCTAAACCTGAAGGTCAGCATAATATACCCTTCAAGAGAATTTTCCACATTGAGTGTATTTCAGCTTGACATTTGACCCTTTGAAATTGGACCACATAAACCAGGGATTATAGATTAATAAAATGTGAGAGCTGGGAAATGAGAGATGAGTTAGAAATGAGAGTCTAGTCCAGTCCACTCATTTTATGGTACGGAAATCCAGGCTCAGAGTACTTATGGGATGTTCACAAGGACACCCAGACAATTAGGAGCAGAATCACGACCACGGCCAACTGGCATCAAAATCCCTTCCCATTGTCCTTGTTCAGGACTCTTTACAGTAAACCGCACTTCCCTTGGATTGGAGTATCCATGTACTTACAGACTTGAGAAAGACTTTGGACCTAGCAATATGTCTTTTAAGGAACCAACTAAAATTGCCAATATTTCTGTATTAATTAGAAGTTATTTGTTTAACCAACAAATTCTCATTTAGAGCTACTTCCTTAAAAACAAACAAAAATCTTTCTGGATACATGGATAACTACCATTCATGGTTAGCTAGTACTGTGTACTTTTAGTATCATACTTTATCAATTCTAAGATAGGCATTTTCTTCATATTTTAATATTTCTAAAATTGTAATGTATCTTACACTCAATGACATGCCATGGTTTAATTGGCAAGTTTTTTTATTTTTATTTTTTATCAGAACATAAAAGTAACAATGTAGCTTATAATGTTAGATTCAGTAAAATATAATTTTTCTGTGTAGCTTTGTTAATTTGGATACTTCTCTTCATGTCTTCATTTTCGCATGTTTATCTCTAGGCGGGCATAGACATAAATGTAATTGTAGGTTCTTGTTTTGTCAATGTCATTACTCATTGTCTAAAATATAATTTTTCTGTGTAGCTTTGTTAATTTGGATACTTCTCTTCATGTCTTCATTTTCTCATGTTTATCTCTAGGCGGGCATAGACATAAATGTAATTGTAGGTTCTTGTTTTGTCAATGTCATTACTCATTGTCATCACTGTTATCCCGCTCCCATGTAGAATGCATCATTAAGCCCAACCAATGGACCTAAGTTAGTGAATCGCTGAGGATGAAATGTGAGTATTAAATACTTAAGAAGAAACCTCACTTGCAAGTTGTGTCAAGACACCCAGTGCCCCTTGTGAGCACACTATGGCCTGCCATGTGATGCTGTTACTAGGTGGGAGGGAAGAGGGGGACATATCTATCAGAGGATGGAACTTCTTTATTGCCCAGCACATAAATGAAAATATGTGCATCTTCTTTAAAACCTATGTGATCTCAGTTTGCATAACCAAACCATGAGCATGCTTTTATTTTCTGCCCTCTGTGAGCAGATGCTGCCATTGCACCTACATTAATACAAAACACACCCTTGTCTGCAGTGCTCACATACCTTAGTCCCGTCTTGTCAGTGAGTGGTGACATTTACAATAGGCCCATTGTCGAGAAGGGAGATTTGATTGATTGAAATTACAAAGCACCAGGCCTGTATCTCTCTAATGAAGTGGGGCCCAGAATCATTCCTCCGGGAGTGTGGGTAGGGTTGGGGCAAATTAGCTGCCTACTCACAGCAGCTCCCAAGACTTATTTCTACACAGGTGAAACCAGGGGAAAACAAATATTAGGCAACCAGGAATGGAAGAATAAGTCAGAAGCCTCAGCAGTAATAGGGGGATGTGGGCAGGGATGGTCAACCTTGGAGATGGTTTTGTCTTGGAGAGGTTCCATGGCCTTTCTGCACGGATGCGGATAAGTTTCAGATCTCAGAGTTGTTTTGTTGTTTAATTAAAAAAAAAAAAATTTTTCTTTAAACACTATTTGGCAGCAGCCACATTTTTCTTTATATTCCTTCCCTTTCTGAGTCATGACCCATATATTGAGCAATGGGTTGAAACGATCTCATGGAACCAAAGATAACTCTGAGTTGGGAAGAAAGCTTAAGGGACCTGTGTTAGATTCTACAAACTGATGTGCTGCTGTGAGACACTGGCACATGGTTCCAGGGACAGGGAGAGAGAGTAAGGAGGCTCTGTCGTACACATTGACTGGTATGTGTGGGGTGCTGGGAAAACAGAGAGGGGAAAACACTGGCATATTATCCTTAATTAATTGTCCTCACATTTGGATTTTTATATTAGAATTTATAGAAGGTTGACCCTCCTGACCTCTGCCCATTTCCTAGTCCATAGGGTTCCTCCATGGTGGAGCATCAGCAAAACATTTCTTGACCTATTAAAAACACAGCTGGGCTTGCTTTCTAAAAGAAAAAAAAAATATGTTACTAATTTGACAACAACCCATTTTAGTTATCAGACTGTCTCAGGTTGGGGAGGCCCAGCCTCCTGCAGATTCTGTATCCAGCCATTTTAGGGAGGAGCGTGATTGAGGCCTTATCTCTAGCTAATTGGGCATATTTGGTTGGAGAAAATGATCAGAAGCCAAGACCAGGGACTGTACTACTTACTAGAGTCGGGGAAGTTCAAAAGGCTTGTACTGGAATTAGGAGGAAGTCTAGGAAGGAGGTAGGAATGTGCTAACAATACTCCCCAACGAAGTCCTCACCGCATAATTCTTTAACTTTCAACTTCTTTTTTGAACCTATGAGGTTGGTGATGAACTGAGGATTGCATTCTTTCAGCATATACTCCACAGGTGGTCCTGTGCCTACTAGATTTTCCCAGTAATTGGGACCTATGCTTTTCACATCTGCACACACGTGACCTCAGAAGGTTCTTTAACAGCAGCTGGCATCACAGTAGCCCATGTTGGTGACACAATAACCATTAGAGCACAGGGTTTAGGGCAGAATTACAGCTCAGGCACACTCGGGATGTTTGGAAAGCACAAGGCAGGATCGCAGTCAAGGCAGGGCCAACTCACAGGGACAAGGCCATATTTCAGACCTCAAACCAGAATTCAAAATCAAAGACTGACCGGGACTCAGGAGGTAGGCAGGATTCCAGGGGTGAGAAAGGGGGCGGGAGATCAGAACTGGACTTGCCCTGAGAATTGAGGCTCCCAGTGTGGGTGGAAGCTCTTCCTATCCCAAAGACCTCGGGTCAGGATTGTTCTTAGTAACAGAGTTGAGAGAGGTCTCCCATGTGGTCCTGGGGTCAAGGAAGGAGAACTGCAGAGGTGTGAAACCCGGGAAGTCTGCTCCAGGTCGAGAGTCTACTTGGGGGAAGCGCCCCCCGGCAGGCAGGGGCGAGAGGGAGACAACCCATGTGGTCCTGGGGTCAAGGAAGGAGAACTGCAGAGGTGTGAAACCCGGGAAGTCTGCTTCAGGTCGAGAGTCTACTTGGGGGAAGCGCCCCCCGGCAGGCAGGGGCGAGAGGGAGACAGCACTTTTAGGGCGGGGCCACGGCTGCACAGCGCCCTCTGCTGTTCATATGGAGGGCGAGCCTTTAATACGACTCGGGCGGTTTTGCCCAGTGTGATTCCGGGCGCCCCAGGAAGCTCTCGGTTCCTACAAAAATCTTCCACATATTTGTTTATGCTTGAAATTCTCTTAAAAGGATATAGAGTTTTTCACTCCACAAATGAAAAGTGAGACCGACTGAGCCACTACCCCGAGGGAAGCAACACGGTTTACAAGGTTAAATTGTAACTTCAGAGCGGCAGTCACTCTAGAGACCAAGTTCGGACAGCAGAGGACAGCGGGCACTGAGCGCCGGGTGTAGGGTCGAGAGAGCAGCACAGAGCAGGCAAAAGGCACAGAGGAAATACAGCTGCAGAACAGCCTTCCTACTGTGTAACCTTGAGGAAATTACCGAACGTCTCTGTGCCTCATTTCCTCATCTGTAAAAGGGGATTGATAATAGTACATACCTTCCCAAATTGTTTCAGGATTAAATGAGATAACACATTAAAAAAACCCTAGAATGGTTTATGGCCATACCACCCTGAAAAAAAAAAAAAAAGCAAAAAGCCCTGTAATAGTGTCTGGCTCGAACTGTCAATAAATGCCAGCTCTTATTCTTTTAATCAGTGTTCCAACCATTTTGCCCAGGCTGTCCCGTTCCTCAAGGATGTCTGAGAAGGGAGCTCCATGAGAAGGACATGGAAAGCAGGCTGGAATGAGGAGGGACAACCAAGCTTCCTTGGAAGACTTTCTCTGCCAGGAGTGACTGTAAGCCCTCGGTGTGCAAATGTTTGCTGAGGATACCATTTGGTGACTCTGCTTTAGGGAAGCTGATCTACTGACCCTTTGACCTACCCATGACTTGCAAGAGACCAGCTTCTTGTCAACCTTGGCAAGATTAAGAATCAGCCTGCAAACCATTTTCTGGCCTCCTGGTGCTGATGGGCCCCTCTGGACGTGGTCTGCTTTCACTCCCTAGGCCGGCTCCATGGCTCGGTTGTCCTTTACACTGTGTGGGTCCTGGGCGCTTTGTGCGATGGGAGTTAGATCCTATTTCGTGGGGGTGAGGTGGGTAGCAGTGGCAGGGTGGTGTGGCAAGAGAAACACTGAGTCTGCTTTGGAGACAGTTAAGTCCTGGTAGCGTTCCCAAAGGCAGAGAACAGAAGAGTAGTCAAAGAACTACTTAGTATGCGTTTTATTTTAGTCTATTTTAGACCTTGAGTAAAATAATTTAGCTTTCAGGATCTTAATTTCCTCATTTATGAAACAGGAAAAATGTACTTTTCGGTATTACTATTTTTGTGTTTGTATCTGCATGTGTGTGTATGTGTCCGTGTGTATCATTTTAAATCACTACATATAAGGAAGATTCCAGTTGTTATTTTAGAAATAAAAAAGAATATACTTACCTTTCACAACCTGCTCATGTGTGAGTTCATTCCAGATGGACTTCTCCATTAGCACCACCACATTCTTGGACATCAATCCTGTTGTCAGTCCACCTCCTGTTGTCAGTCCACCTACAGGAGGTCTGGCAATGCA